GCATTTTATCTATCTATCTATCTATCTATCTATCTATCTATCTATCTATCTATCTATTTTTAATCTTATCGGGGAACAGCCATGGTCACTGGTTACACATTGCTCTCATGCTACAATGGCATAGTTGACTCTTTTAGGGAGGGCGCAGCTCACAGTGGCCCATGCGGAGATCGAATCCGCAAGCTTGGTGTTACCAGCACCACGCTCTAACCAACTGAGCTAACCGGTCACCGCTTCTGAGCAATTAAAATGCATTTAGTCATTTAACGCTCATGGGAACCCTATTAAGTGCTATGGTCATGCCTGGGTCACAGATGAGGACACTTAAAGCGATATGAGGTTGAAGCCAGTGATGGAAGCTGTCTCAGAGGTGGCCCTCTCAGGGAAGCCCACGAATCAAGGGGATGAAAGGTGACATGGCCGCAAGCCCCCTTCCTTGCCTATCTTCACCCCCCACGCCCTACCTGAGGAGGCCTCATTCCAGGAGCTCACATTTGAAATTCCACAGGCACATCATAAATAGCCATCAGCTGGGGAGCAGAGAAGTAAACTCTGGGCCATCTCTGTTACGGACCATTAGGCACCAGTTCAAGAGAATGAAGTCAGACTGTGGCATGCCTCAGAAAAATCCCCGAGACGCAGTGTCAAACGATGAAATCAGGCAGCCAAACAGGCCCATTTGTGTAAAAATATATGTGGTAACAGTGGCACAAAAACCACATATACATACCAAATCTAACTATATAATCAGATCTCTGCTTTTAATCTATACACTCTTGTACTATTTGAACATTTATTTAATAATGAGAGGGCACTCACTCTGTTACTTGAGTATTTAAAAACTTAAAAAATGCAAAGTATCTCTAAAAATAGTTTTAACACCACGTCTGCCATAAAAGGAGGAAAAAATAGGGGGTCCTATTTACTCAACTCTTGAAAACACTCACACACATACAGGCGTAAATCCATGGGAAATAGGGAATTTCTCAGAGGCTCGCAGATGTGATTTCAGTCACTGGCCCACCGGGTCTCACAATTTCGGGAGCTCTCAACCTCAGCTGCCCATTGTAATCACGTGGGGAGCTTTAAAAAGTCTTGATGCCCAGGCCCCCGCGCACACGTTAAGTGAATCAGAATCCCAAGAAGGGGCCTGGGCATCAACATTTGCAAAGCTCCTCAGGGGGTTCCAACAGGCAGGCAGGGCTGAGAACCACACATCCTGAGCGGAAGGAACTCCACTAAGACCCAAGGGGGAGGGCCCCAGACCAGGGCCCAGACACAGTACCTGGTAGGTCTTGGTCTTCATGGCCATCACGGCATTGACGGGGACCATGAAGATCATTACAGCCACTCCGGCCAGGACGGAGGGACCCAGGTTCTAGGGAAGGAGAGAGAACAAAGGCCTTCACACCGGCTTCCCCGGGCTGAGCCACCCCACGCCCACCCTGCCCAGAGAGCTGAGGGCAGTTCCAGTACTTCTACCCAACGACGGGCTAGGAAGCGTTTTCAGATTTATTCCCAAGCATCTCTCAGGGTCCCACAACCCCTTTAAGGATCTTTTATCCAAAAACCCTTGGGACCAGGTAAGTTTTGCTCCTTAGAATTTTAGAAAGGTGATAAGGTGTTGAGCAGAAAAAGTGAACACCGCTGGCCTGAGGGTTCACCTTGTTTGAAGGCCTGCTTATAAATCAGGCCTCTGGCTGGCGTCTGGGCGCTTGGATTTGGGGAGGATTCCCACCATTCTCAGAACTGTAAGAGAGGCTCCCTGACCTAGACTGTGTGTACAAACAACATGGTGTGTGCTGAATACCCCTTTTCCTCCTGGGAGTCTGGGAGTTTGGTATGTGCCAGGCAGAGGCTGCCTAGGTGACCGGCCCCAGCGAAAACCCTGGGAGTGAGGTCTCTACCGAGTTTGCCTGGCTGGGAACGTTTCACACAAACTGCCCCAACTGGTTGCCAGAGATACAGAGCATCCTGTGTGACTCCACTGCAAGAGGACTCTTGGGCACTTTTACCTGGTGTCGCCAAAAAACCTGCCCCCTGCATCTCTACCCTTCGCTAATCCCGCTGTAATAAATCATAACCCTGAGTCATCCCGGCGAATCATCAACCTGGAGTGGTCTTGGGGAACCCCTGACACAGGCGTACACGCCCTTCTATTGCATTCCACCCCAGCGGGGCCTGGCACAGTACTCCATCACCAAATGCTCTCATTTTTCAGCAGCAAAATAGGTACCTTCCCACTGACAGGGATAACCAAGATTATACATATTTCACACCAGTACCTGTGAGAGTGAAGGTGGTTTCCACCAGCCTAAGGCATTCAGAATCAACTCTAACAGCAAACAGTACTAATTAAAGGAGACGGCGCGCAGCTGTGTGCCTGGCACTGCTCCATGAGCATGACCTGTGCTAATTCATTCCATTGTCCCAACATCCCTATGATGAGAGGTACCCTTATGATCACCAGTTTTGAACGGGAGGACACTGAGGCTTAGAGACTTTAAATGACAAGGTCACAGAGCTAGTAATGAAAGAGTCAGGAACCCAGGCAGCCTGATTNTGTGATTTGCTATCACTTGTGGAGGAGTAAATAAAAGATACATGAGTTTAACGGCATTGATTACAAATAGTCACTATTATACTGGTATATATGTAGGCTCTCCCTCTGGAAATGCACAAAAGAAGCTGGTGTGGAGAGGGAAGCTAGGTGGCTGGGACCTGAGTGGGGGAGACAGTTTTGATTGTCACAGCTGGGGAGGTAGGGGAGAGAGAGCACTTGGCACAGGCAAGTCCCAATAACAAGGAAACAAAGAATTATCGGGCCCCAAATGTCCACGGTGTTGAGGTCGAGAAACCCTGTTGCAGGCCCTTTGGAACAGCTTTCCTTGTTTTTACCATGGGAATGAATTACTATTTTTAAAATAAAATGTATCACATGTCAGATTATTTTACAGTTATATAAGTTACACGGTGACACTAGGTCACACATTGAAGAAAAATAATAATAAAATGGACCTCCTATTCAACTACCATTCAGTCTTACATTGCTTTTACTTTTAAAAATAAAAGAGGGCCCTCAAAGACCTGCAGAAAGTCGGGGAGACTGAAGTTTGAAAAGAACGAGGCGGCAGAACCTTCCAGCTTAGAAGGCTGGAGCGTTTGAGCCGAAAGGGACCTTAGGGAACACGGAGTCCCAGAACAGCTAAGAGATGTCACTTCTTGTGCCAACTCCAGTCAACTGACAGTGGTCACCTGGAGGGCTGACTGAACATAGCTTGACGGGACAGAACGCCATGACTGATCATGGATATCTGATGGGAGATGGGGGAGGGCAGGGCCCCACGTGTGACATCGCTGTGGCCTAACGCCTTCATGTTTCCTATGTGAGAACCCCGAGGCAGGGACTTGGAAGGGCTGGCTTCAGGTCGCACTGGGAGCTGGCAGAACAACTCAGCAGGTGTCCTGCCTCTCAGAAGAACGCTCCCTTCCTCTAAGCCAGGGCTCAGCAAACGAAGGCCCACACCTGTGTATGTCTGGCCCGTGAACTTAGAACGGAGTTTACATTTTTACACGATTTTTAACAATTAAAAGAATGATACTTAATAACACATGAAGATTCTATCCAATTCAAATTTCAGTTGTCTATAAATAAATGTTTACAGGAACATAGCCCTATCCATTCATCTATGCATTATGTATTATGTAAGCAGTTGTGACAGGCACCATATTTACTACGAACGCCCACAACATTGACTAGTGGGTCCTTTACCGAAAAGGTGGCTTACTTCCACTTTCGGCCAGTGTTTCTCAAACCAGCTGCGGGGGAGGCTGCTAAAATTCAGGTTCTGTTTCAGCCAGTCTGGGGTGAGGCCTGAGGGTCTCTGCATTTCTAACAAGGTGACACAACGCTGCTGGCCCATGGGCGACATTCTTTGAGTAGGAAGGATTTACTCCAATGGTTCTCAAAGTATGTATGTACCCCCGAACCATCACCCATCAGTAACACCTGGAAACACGTTAGAAATACAAATATTCGGGCCCCACCCAGACCTACTGGATCTGAAACTCGAGGTGGGGCCCATCGACCTGTGTTTTAATAAGCCCCCCCTCCCCAGTGATTCTGACGTTCACGCAGGTTTAAACATCATTGCTCTCTGCCACGCTGTCTTGTGTGCGGGTTCAGGCTCTGGGAGCCAGTAAGCTGAGCCTAACGGAGCCCAGCGTCAGAATAAACACAAGTTAACCAACACTGAAACGGTGGGTGTTTCTTTAAACGTCCCACCTGCAACTCAGCTGTGGTGAGGCAGATGGCAGTCGGATAGAAAGCTGTCATGGTTGTGTAAATGTGTGCTTTTAGTTCACAGAAACTCCCCATAAGGATATGTGTTTGCCAACATACCTAAGAAGCAACAGCCATTATTAGCACGGCATTTTGAAAAGAATGGCAAAGTTAAGAACCAAAAGAAAGGAAAAACAAACACGGGCACTAACCATTCTTAACTGCTGACTGTGCATAAAGGGTTCCCACGGTCCATCTCTATATGGGCTCTTGTTTGGGACCACCTTTGTCAAAAGAGTAACTTGCATTTGTTGTCTTTAAACTTTTCAAAGTTGGCCATCCAGAAAGAGACCCATTAAAGTACCCTGAGACATGCATATTGAAAGGGGGACCATCCTAAAAAGCCAGCATTGGGAGATGAGATGCTTTAAGTCAACAATGGCACATCCATGCGGTGGACAAGCATGTCTCATTAAAATACACAAAGCAGAGCCAAAGGCACAGCCTGAGAGGTTATATGTTAAGTCCAAAAATTGGGCTAAAGAGGTTATATATTAAGTCCAACAAGGTCTATGACTGCATTTCAATATAATAAAAATGTTTTAAAATCTCTGTCACATAAACATTTTTTTTTTTTTTTCTGAAAAGATACATAAAACCGTCACTTTGCAGGAGAGGGAAAGATGGAAGAGAAGACAAGATAGTTTTCATTTTATAACTTTCTACATGGGCTCATTTTCCGTTTTAATCATGAGTGACAAACATTTACTGAGCACCTGCCGTGCACTGTCTTAGGCGCTGGGGACGCAGTAACGAACAGAAACGACAAAGTCCCTGCCTTCCTGGAGCTGACGTTCCAGTGCAGAGAGACACATAAATGAAAGAGTGAGTGAATTTTAGACTGTGTTTGGCCTTGTGGCTCAAAGTGAGGTCCACAGGTCACTGCCAAT